ACTATTTTTATTTTATGTCTCGTATCCGATATAATACCCAAGAGTTATGACAAATTCATAAACAGATTGCAAGAATTGGAGTCAAAATACTCGTCAAAAACGTGCAGAAATCCATCGCAAGAATCTCAATGTCTTATCTATTATTCATTAATGAGTCGCTTGTATGCAATGAGAGATGAGTTCTGTTTTTCAGCATTTAATTTGTATAAAATCAATACAAAAACCTTTTTATCACTCATGGCTTTAATTGTCAGCTACGCTGTTATCCTCATTCAAACCTATTAAGCATTTTAACATTGTATGTGTTGTACAGTACAGTAGACTAAAGTTGTTAATTTCGTAGCACAGGTTCAGATAAAACAGTAGTAAAGTGCTAATTACAATAATCACCATAAAACACAAAATAAAAATTACTTATGTATAATTTTAATAATATTTGTTATTAAAATATTTAAAAAATACAAAATACAATAATTAAAATTCAAGTTAATATATCTGAGAAAGGAATATGAGATGAGTCTCCAAAAAATGTTTTTAATATCTAATCTTTAATCTTAATGTAAAGTTCGATAGAAATATTGAAAGTCAAAATTAATAGTTATAATAATTATAGGTAAATATAATTTATTTCGACAAATTTATTACAAATTCTATGATTTAAGTGAATGTACTTTATGCACTTGTTTTCTATGCTTAACAATATTTGCTGAATTGGCGCACCGGTACATACAGCCCGGCCAATGACAGGAATATGGCTTAATATTGTTGTGAATATTTTGGTGATCTTTTAGAGAACATATGTCTTTAAACCGTTTGCCACAGTCTGGCCACTCGCACGCGTATGGCTTCTCTCCCGTATGCAGTCGTTTATGCTTGTTAATAACATAGCCCTCCCATTCACACCCCGGCCAATCGCACCGGTGTTTATATCGACGTCTAACAAGCGGTTTCCGATTATGAGCTGCCGTTTGATGTTTGCGGAGTTGAACTTCTGTTAAAAACTTTTGTCCGCAGTCTTCGTAATGGCATTCATGTGAAGATATGTTTGTATGAGTAGTTGAATGTCTCTTCAATTCTTGAGTTGAGCCAAACCTACGCTCACATCCATTGGAACTACACTTATATTTATAGAACTCCGGTCTATGGCGGCGGGAATGGGCGTTAAGATTGTTTTGAGATTTGAATGTTTTGCCGCACCCGTCGTAGTCGCACCGGTAGGCCCTCGCCGATGAGTGCACTGCATTGATATGTGCGGTCAACTGTGGTTTCCTCAAACATTTGAAGTGACAGCCGTTATAATCGCAGACAAATCTATAACCTTTGAAATGTATGTCCAAATGCATTGTTAATTGGGATTTCAGTTTAAAACCCTTCTTATTATAACAGTCGAGAAATTGACAGAAATATGACATCTCTTTGTGAACATCCCATACGTGATGGGACAGGGATTCACGATTGTTGAACACCGATGGTGTCAAACACTGCTCTTTCGGACATTTATATGATTTAGTCTTCGCGTCGAAACACTTCTCGAAATCAATTCCTTTGAATCGTCTTTTGCCGATACAATGACTTCTCTTAATGTGATTTATGGCTGAAATATGATTATAGAAACACTTATTGCAACCACTTTTGGGACACTTGTATTCATTGGTCTGAGGGTCGAAGCCATAACTGACTTTTTGTATTAAACTCTTCATATCTTCCTCATCGGTCTTAACATTGTTTGAAACACTTTCTCTGTAATCCGTATCTCTTTGACCGCATTCTTCCACTTCTCTAACATTCAATTGTCTTCGAGGAACACATCTCTTCTCAATTGGTTCGCTCGACTCGTGAGTAATGGTGTCATCGACAGTGTCCTCACACTCGGCATCACTTGTCTTCAGATTGTCCTCCAATTGTCTGTCGTGTGTGTCATATGTCTTACCATTCCTTTCACTCAACTCTTGAGTCAATTCATTGAACTCTTGTTTGTCTTCAGATGTGATAATAGTTTCATATTTTGAGTGAATTTTAATTAAATGTCTTTTCAATTGGTTTGCAAACAATAACTCATTCAATAGTCTCTTGTTTTCGAGCATTAATTCATTGAAAATATCGTTAATACTAATCACTACTGAATTGCAATCACTTCTCATTGAATCCATAATTAATTGTCAATTAATTTTAACAAAAATGTTTAAATTAAATAAAAAATAAATGAATTGTCCAGGGCAAAAATATTAATTTGGCACAACATTCAAGTATTAATATACAATGTAAACAATGTTCTGTTAAACAGGGGTCGTGTTATAATAAAAATAACTCATTATCATAAGAATTTATCGTTTATTAAAAGTACAATAACTGAAATTAAGCAAATTAATACTTTATTGTGATTTAATTGAATTTTTCTTTATGTACTTGTTTTCTATGCTTAACAATATTGGCTGAATTAGTGGCCCGATATGTACAACCCGGCCAATGACACTCATACGGCTTAACATTGTTGTGAACATTTTGGTGATCTTTTAATTGGAGATTTTTTCTAAACCGTTTGCCACAGTCTGGCCACTCGCACGCGTATGGCTTGTCACCCGTATATTTATCGTTTATTAAAAGTACAATTTATTAAACAAATTAATAATTTATTGTGATTTAATTGAAGTACAGTACAGTACATAACTGAATGTTATTCCACATATGAAAATACAAGTACTTTATAATAAAAGTAAACATTTTATTTGATTGTTATAATAATTATTATCACGGTATAATTATGATTTATATTATACACCCAACCATTCCATTGGTTTTTTCTAAACAAAACATATAATTTAATTTTTAGATTAATTTAAATGAAATTTACTTCTCAGATATGCCAACAGAAAAGCATTTTTATAGAAAATTACAACAAATTATATTTAATGAAAATATTTTAAACTATTTGTTTGGCATGCATTAAGAGCGCCGGTAGTTTATTCCTTAGCCATGTGTTTGTTCATATGAAGGTTGAGATACTTGGCACGAGTGGTGGCGTAATCACATGCCGGCCATTCGCACCGGTAGTTCTTAATACCTTTATGAGTATGAATATGAGATTCAAGCGATCTCACATTAAAATAGGCTTTCTCACAGCCCGGCCACGAGCACCGGTAGATTGCTTTAGCCGAATGTGCGTCCATATGACCAATGAATGAACTCTTTTGGGTGAACCGTTTGGCACAACCGGGCCATTCGCACTGGT